AAATATTGATTTGGAGGTATTTCGCTGCGTCCGCCGTTTCTTTCCCTCATATCCATTTTTCTTGATCGATGAGCTTAATTGCTTGTTACAATTAATTCTTTGTTTCTTTTTTTTTTCCTGGTGACATAATTCTTTGTTCCCTTGCAAATCGTTAATTTTGATATTTCTCTTTTGTGGAGTGGCGCCGCCGTTCTTCACCATTGTGTTCCATTGAGCGAAAGCATATGAGTCCTGGGATTCATATGTTAGTTTTCAATGAATGACCCTTGATGAATAAACAATCATGGAAGTTCTTATTTTGCACTTTTTTGCCCTAATGAACGGAAGTATATGCTTCCGTTGTAGTCCGGCATGAATACCTCAGGACAATCGTTAGGGAGAATTATTCAGATTAAATTCAGAAACCTATCGAGTCCTATGGACCTCGGGTTACCTCGAGTTTTAAGTGCTTGAATAGAATGAGTGTCAAATACCTGAACTTGGTCACTAGGCATTAATAATTTCGGAATCATTATGTCCACTTTCTTTCCTTGTATGTTGACTTGACCCTTGACCCTTTTTTTTTTTTTTTAAAAGGTAGACTTGCCTTAATTTCTGAAAATTCTGTCATGCAAATTACTATATTACATGGCTGTGGATTATACTTGGAAGAATCTGTGGTGTGGTTTGTAAAATTCTAGATTCTTGTTTGCTTGGCAACACTACTGCATGTGCTTAAGTTTAAGACGCAAAGTTGTTTTTAAGTCTGTTCTAGTTGAAGGACCGGACTGACTACTGCAAGCGTGCACCATTGGATTGTGGTGCTTTCTATGGTCATTGAGAACGTGCTGGGAACGTAAAAAAATTGAGTGTGATGCTTATTCATAGTAATTAAATTTTTTATTTACATCTCCAGCTCCATGAATCACCGGAGAAATCACCAGAAGTGGTCGATTTGCTCGGGAGAGCATGATTGTCGTGTGAATTTCTGATTCCTCTGCTCTACGCTTCTGTTATGTTGCATTGAGTCGCAAACAACCTGACTTATGGGGCCGAAGGCAGGGAACTCATCTGATCCTTTTATTTATCTGTTAATTTTTGAAAGCTCAACTCAGAATGCTTAATTGTCGTCTTCTGGAGTATAAGTTTCAACCTACCATGAGATGGACACTTCTTCCTCAGAGCGTTGCCACCAATCTCACCTCCACTCCACTAATCTCTCTCTATATCACAGTCATTTTCTCATCGAAATACTCTCTCCACCCTTGCCATGTGACCTCTCGTTGAGTTGTTTCCTTGAATTCTTACTGCTTATCAAGTTATACTCTTGTTTGTACGTTATTGCCACCGATTTGGTTCCTTATAAAAAGGTGAATAACAAAGGCTATGATAAGGTTTATGATTTATGATTTAGAAATCAGCCTCACAATTGTCCAATTATTCTTCTGGTTCTTCATTTTTATCCCAACTCATTTTTTTGTCTCTGGCCTTGTATAACCTTGCTTTCATTAGTCATACATTTTCACCCCAGGGACTTGTCTCACTGACTAGGATATGTCTAAGACATCTTTGCAATGTATTTGTGTCACTTTTGGTTTCAAATAAATCAGTTTTCCGTGCTTACTGTAAATGTTTTCTTCATTCCATAGCTAAATAATCGTGTGCTAGAATTGACGTACCAGTTTTCTCCTACTTCCGTGTAAGTTCTGTTGGTTTTTCAAAAACTTTCTGTTCGACAATCAGATTCTTCTTTTTATGTTAATAATGGTTGATATGGGAATTATGCTCTTGATACTGCTGAGTTTTTAAACTTGTGTATGGATCACAGTTGGATGATATCCTGCATCTTGGTCTTCCCGCCTTTTTTTTTTTGGGGGGTGGGGGTGGGGGTTGAGGGGAGGCGGTGCTAGACCTACGCTGAGAAAGTAGAAATCTGCCCTTTTTGTTTCCCCATTTCTGAGAAGGTAGAAATTCGGTTCATTCTAACCTAGTTGTTGTGCTCTTTACTGGGCATTTGTATATGATCTAATTATAGCAGCCGTCCCACAAAAAACAAAGGATTGAATTTCATGTAAAATGTTACTACTGGCTAGGATCACCTAGAATGATATTAGATCCCGTTCATATTTTTAAGCGATTTATGTTTCTCCTGCTATTGTGGGCTCTCCATTTTTTAGCGTATGTAACCAGACTAGGAAGGTGCATTGCACAGTGATGCTGATCATTTTATTTCATTATGGTTAGTTTTCCCCACCTCATATACATTGCTTTATATCACGGGGTGCTTGTTATCTCAAATGTCATCTTTCCAGTGATTCATTGTATTTCTTCATGGTTTTTGTATCTACTTCTACTCAATCTGATGATTTTGATTTTCTTACCCCATTTTGATCTGGTTGGTCTAATTATTTGCTTGTTGATAGTGCTTCACTCTTCCTCATTTGGTGAACTAAATACAAGTTGCCTTCTGCAGGAGCTGTATATTCACATTGGATGGCCTCTGTATCGCAAATACGGTCATGCTTTTGAGGTAAGGAAGTTTGTTATGTACATATATATATTGTTTTCTCTGAATTATGCAACTGCTATATGATCCTCATTTTGTGCAGGCATTTAAAATAATTGTTACTGATCCTGATTCAGTTTTGAATTCCCTCACCCGTGAGGTCAAGGAGGTTGGCCCTGATGGGCAGGAGGTAATCATTACTGTCGTAGATCATTTTTCCACAGAAGTTCTATTTGATTGCTTAAGACTTATTTTTATTTTTTCTCCTCTAGGTGACCAAGGTGGTTCCAGCAGTATCAGAAGCGGTGAAGGAAGCTCTAGTAAAGAACATCAGAAGACGAATGACCCCCCAGCCCTTGAAAATTAGGGCTGATATTGAAATGAAGTGTTTTCAGTTTGATGGAGTTCTTCACATTAAGGTCTGAACTGTTTCTTCTCTCCCATATTCTTTGGGCTCTGCTTGAATTTGGTTTGTTCAGTAATATTTGCTTATCTTCCTAAGTATTGTGAATAATTACGTTGTAATTGCATGACCATGCAGGATGCAATGCGGAAAGCTGAAGCTGCTGGAAATAATGATTGCCCAGTAAAGATTAAACTTGTCGCTCCCCCACTTTATGTTCTTACCACTCACACTCTCGACAAGGTTGGTGTACAGTCTTCACAAAAATTTTGATCTGATGTGTATGATGATTGACCTTGTAGCTGAACAACTGAACTAGCTGTTGATCTTACCTGTAGTGCCTGTTTTGATGGGTTTTCTTGGCGAAGGCTGTTGTTTTCTCCACTATATGAGCATTAGATTCCTAGAAAATAGTACATTACTTATTTAGTTAGTATCCTGGAGGCAGTTTTTATATTTGTCAGAACGTCTAATTTGCAAATGGTGACTTCGTACTGAAACTACTAGTGTGTTCTTCAATGTTCACAGGATCAGGGAATATTGGTTCTCAAGGATGCTATTGAAGCCTGCAATAAAGCCATAGAGCAACACAAGGGTAAACTAGTTGTGAAGGAGGCACCCAGAGCCGTGAGTGTTGATGATGGATGTGTTTTAGAACTCATATTTTCTTTATCTGAGATTGACATTTGTCATTGTGATTCAGGTGAGTGAACGTGATGATAAATTGCTTGCTGAACATATGGCTAAGCTACGCCAAGACAACGAGGAGGTTAGTGGTGATGAAGATAGCGAAGAGGAAGAAGATACAGGAATGGGTGAAGTTGACGTGGAGGGTCAGGGTGCTGGGATAACAGAGTGACAAAAAATTGAGGGTTAAAAAGGCATAGAGAACGACGGATTTCACTAATTTTTTGTTTAATTTTTTTTCCCCAAACAACATTTTTGTTGCGATTGTACAATACAAACTAGATTATTGTATGTAGAGATGTTATCATACTTGCGGAGCGATTGAGGAGCGTCTTGGAATGGATGCTCAGTAATCTGCCGATAAATCCAATTTTATCTCATTTCTCATGCAGTTCAGGCGTGATCCTGGAATAATAGCCTCTCTCTAGGTGGCGTGGATAAATTAAATTAGGAGGTGTTTGGATAATCTCAGAATCACTTTTCAGAAGTATTTTTCTGTAAATCGAAACATTTTTATATATTTATTTCGTATATTGTGAAAGTACTTTTGAAATTAGAGTTTTGTTTTTATCTAAGTATTCTTTTTATTATTCCGTTTTCTTACATTTTTTTTCTGCGTATGAGAGTTTAAGACTTTATATTGGCCGTGAATTCTTGTATCCATTTTTCTCGATTTTATTTCGCTCGAATTTCTATTTTTGGACAATAGTACAGGATGGGGCTTTATTTTTCCGGGGCAAGTTTCTAAGTAACTTTTTTACCAGGGTGAATAGGTAAATCGGTTTTTCAGCGTGCAGAAGGCATATCAAGGTTTGAGCTTTTTCATCTTCGGTGTTAGGTTTGGATTTGCGCCATTTTATGTTGGAAAAACCATATTATGCTGGTGGTGCTTATATTTTCTTTCTATTTTTTAATTTGATATGTGTTTTTTTCCTCTTAATTAAATCATTTAATCTTGCTCTTTTAGCAACATCAACTTTTGTAATTTTGCTCTATTAGCATTGTGCAAGGATTAACAATATTAACAGAGCAAAATTAAAGATTTAATTAAAAAAAAATACATGGGTATCAAATCAAAAGTTAAGAAAAAATATCGTTACCTCCAAAATGTTTTTTTTTTTTTTAACGGTTTGAGGATCCTCATGTTACCAAGTTCCATTTTCATTAGTTCTTACATTATTTATTAACCAGCACAAAGATTCGTGGGATTAAAAGCATAGAATTTTAAACCCTGTAAATTTGCTGAATGGGATTAGACGCGTGATCATGACTTGATGAGATCAGTTTGGACTGTGGAGTGAAGGCATCCTTTCAAGGGTGCGAACTTGAGTATCTGGAGGTGCCAATGTTTTATTTTCTGAGATGTCTGTACTTTGTTAGGATGCACCTCTACTCCACTCATCCTATGTACAAACACAAGAACAATGGGATCAAATGATATTATACAGCTTCACCCAATTAAATTGCTATTACACAGCAAAAACAACACACAAAAAGGGATGGGCTTCGGACTTGACACTGATGTTATCACAAACTGAAAATAAAACAGAGACATGGGAAAAGAAGTTGGAAATGATTCTCATTGCTCGCATTGGAAAGTGGAACTGTCTTCAATTAACTTGCCATCAGCTGCCGCTACATTTCGAGCATAGCAGTTGAACCTGTCTGCGTAAGTATAATTTTGTCGGGTGATTGCTTGCCCTGCTACAACAGAGTGACCCTTCACTTTCATCCATCCCGAAGAATCCTGTTTGTTACTAATCGAACTCGAGAAGCACGCACCCGATTGCCTCTCTCTCAAAGCATGAGTGACATTGGTAACGAGTAGATATCTGTCCTTGCGCAAACATGGCTTAGTCCAAGTTAGCACACGCAGAGGATACTTTCTCTTAACCTTCAATAATCCAACCACTTGACCATGCCCATTTATTAACTTCGTCTTCTTCTTCGCTTTGTGTTTTTGTTTCACTAACTTGTAGGTTCCATTCTTTTGAAACTTAATGTAGTTCTTGAACTTGAACTCATGCAAGATAACGGTGGTCAAGTTTCCTGCACTTGATCTAACCCACCCTGCTACTTTTCCTTCCCTCTCTGCACTAATATCAAACGATCCATCAAGTCCTGTAAATTCTTCTTGGCGCTCTATTGTCACTTCAGGACTCTTGTTAATGATTCGTCCAGCATGAACTACTTGGGAATGATGATCCAACCACAGGTGTAAATTTGCATTGACAAGCCAGTATGAGATGCCCCGAGTCACACCTATTCCAAACCTATGTTTTTTCCCACCCAGAATCTTACCTAGATAAGGTGTTAAATCTATGTCATAAGAAGGAAGATTGAAAGCCCCAATTGCAACAACAGGCTCCCAGAGGAGGGGATTGATTCCTCCTGTGAAAATGACAGGAAATGGAACCTCCGACCCTACAACTTCGCCATCGATTGTCACGTACACTTCCCTGTAAGCTCCATTACCTCGGCGTGTGCTTAAGCCGTTAGTTTTGATGTATGAATTGGGTGGGTTTGAGTACCAAAACTCATCGTTGCCATGAAAAGACGCGCACAACTCAAGAACTGCACGGTGAGTATTTTTTGGAATTCGAATGCTCCGGGAATGAACATCCGATTCGCGCTCAATTCTAAACCAAAACCCACGGTCGCCGTCATCAGATATCGGAATGATCAAATCAGCCGGGGATTCATACGAATCCAATGAACCCCTGCGCAAATCAGTATCACCGAGATCATCCCGTTCCACCGTTACTTCCGAGATTCCTCCATCCGATTCATCCCTAAGGATCCTCGATCTCCCCTCACAAGAAACCCCAAGCGGAACCCCGACAACAGCGCGGCCTTTGAAGAGCGAAAGAGTGATGGTGACATGGTAAATCCCAGTGAATTCATGATTAACGATGTTTTCCAGCATCATCGTGAGATCCAGGTCAGACCTTGTAAGGAGAGAGGAGTACCTGGTGACATCCTTCCAAACATTCCAGAAGACTCCATCCTTCGTGGGCTCGGCGGTGCTGGTGCGAAAGAGCTCGACGCCGCCGAGCCATAAGCCGGCGATGCGGTCGTACTGCTCTCCTTTACAATCGGCCTGGAAACGGAGGAGAGCGCGGGACCAAGGGGAAGGGCAGTGAGAGGGAGGGATGTAGGGTGTGGAGAAGGGAGGGGAATCGATGGTATCGGCGAAGGAGTGGCGCAGAATAAGGTGGGAGCATGATGGGGTGGCTTGTTCGGAGGGTAGAGGATAGGTCACCTCCAGGTGTTCTTGGGGACGGTGGTGGCGCCGGAGAGAGAGGTCGGAGGGTTTAGTATAGTGGTCTGTGTGGGAGAATGGTACGACTGGTTCTGTGAATAAGGAGAGGAGCAGGAAGAAGGATACGCCAAGGACGGTGTTCATGGGGAAGACGAAGAAGGAAGAACATAGGTGCATGGAAGCAGGGAAGGTGAAGACTGGAAGACCGTTTTGTTGGTTATGCGTGAACTGTTTTAAGAAGGGCGACAATAGCTGTAACTGTAAGGACTTTCAAATATTTTTTTATACAGTTGCAAAAATTAGGCTTTATCATCAGCTGATTATTCTCATTTAATTGCAAAACTTTTCTTTAATAATATGAGTTATTTTCCCTTATTGAAAAAAATTAGTGTATTTACTCTTTATCTAACATTCTGACTGATTGAATTCAAACCAAGCATGATAAATAAAGAACGGGGCACATTATCAAGATAGTGGAAGGACATTAGCTAAATAAGGATGCACAGGACACAATTAAACTTTGCATATGTTAATCAAAATTGAGATTGCTCAATGGGAAGGACGAGAATATTAATGATAGCTTCTGACTAAATTATTTCCGAAAACTATGATGTCGTAACATATGCAAATCATTACAAGTGCTCATCAATTTGGATCAAAGCGGATGCTTAATTTTCAAGTCATGGATGGTTGAGGAAGGCCTGGTAGCTAGGAAATTTCTCGATCGAAGAGTTCACCCATGAGATGATCTGGTTGGACCTTTATGAGTAGTGATTCTCTTTGAAAGTCCCACGATATAATCCTTGGTTTACAAGACCAGAGAAGATAGAATCATACGGTTCGAGAATGGAACAGGGCCACTAATTACTAAACACCCAAAAAAGGGGGGCGAGGGAAATTGCCGTGATGATGCCTGCAAATAATATCTTGCACAAGCATTTCTGGGGCAAGCACTATAATTTAGGATTATGTGATGTATATTCAGAGAGAAGTTACCGTAAAATTACAGGAAAACAGGACATTGCTCCCTTGCTGACAAGGAAGTCAGCTATGGCATCGTATCCAAAAATTCTAGCCACGTACAAAGGGGTGGCACCCTTCTTATTGGCAGAATTTACATTCACACCCTTGTTCACTAAAACTTGTATGGTCTCCGGGTCACCACTCTCCACCGCCATGTGCAGCGGCGCGTGACCTTCCTCGTCCTCACATTCCAAGTTCAACCCTGCTTCTGTCAGCATCGATACCATCTCTTTGTGCCCTTTCATGGCTGCCGCATGAAGGGCCGTCAAACCATACTGATCACGGTAGTGCACGTTCGCCCCTCTCTTCAACAGTGTCTCCAGTTTCTTTACGTCTCCATGCCTCGCCGCCGCTAGTACTTCTTCTCCTTGCTCCATTATTTTTTCTATCTCTTTCTGCTTCCCCATTCATCAAACAAACACTTCGTTTGTAAAAACAAACAAACAAACAAAGAAGAACATTTTTGACCTCATTAAACTACCAAAGTTTTTGTTTTAAAAAAAAAATCCAAAATGCTGCCATAGCAATCTATCACTTGATTTAGATTCTTCTTTGGAGGCCAAGGCACTTGTCCATTTTTATTTGCTAGTTAGTCTTCGGAGCTTCATTGATTTAAGCGTATTTTTCTCCATTAAAAGAACAGTTTCGCAGCACTTTCCAAACCGGACCAAACAGACATTAATTTGCAAATTTATAGAGTTGAACCACTTGTGACAAGAATGATAGGAATCACTCACGTGTCCTTCATCACTGGCAATGTGAAGGGCGGAACGGCCACGATCGTCGGTTATGGTTGGGTCAGCGCCCATCTCAACCAGCATTTCCACCATCCTACTCTCACCATTCGCCGCTGCTCTGAACAACGGCGAGCTACCGTCGTTGCACCTGGCATTCACATTCGCTCCGCCTTCCACCAGCAAGCGCGCGCACCTGATATTTCCCTTATCCGCCGCCAAATGCAAAGGGGTCCTACCCTTGTGATCTCTGGAATCCAACGGCCACGAAGGATTCGTCTTTAACAACCTCCGGACGTCATCCGCCCGATCAAGAGCCGCCGCCACGTGTAACTCGTCCCAGCCCTTCGAAGCCCATCTCGGGTCCGCGTTACCCGATCCCAATTCCTGCTCCAGTCTCAAACCAGCTTCCAGGAGCAAGTGAACCATGCCGTCCGGGTTAACCAACTCGGTGGCGACTCGGAGGAGCCAATCAGCCTCACTGGGCGACAAATCGGCGAGTAAGGACCTCTGCCGTTTGATGAGGTTCCTAACAGCATCCAAATCACCACTAACGACGGCATGGCGGAGAAGCAGGGGGCCGACAAAGGCGACCTTGAGTTTAAGATTCTGAGTGGGGGTGGAAGACGGGAGAGAGGAGAACCATGAGTTAATGGCGTGAGAGGGAATGGGAATGGAGGTGTTGGGGAGGAATTCGGCGATTTTGACGAGGAAGCGATCGGAGGGAGATCGAGGGAAGGTTAGGGGAAGCTGGGACTGAGGCTTGAGGATGACTTGGAAGGTGGCGTGAGAGAGAGGGGGGATGATGCCGGAGGGAGGGTTAACGAGGAACTTATTAGGGGAGGAGGTCTGGACCTTGAAGGCCAGCGGCGAGGCGGCCCACAGAGATCGTAGACTGACGGTGGCTCGGCATTTGCAGTTGAGAGCAAAGTCTATTCGTATCTCTGATTCGGTGACCTCCGCGAGCCTCTCCATCTGCCTCTCGCCGCAGCAGATGATGGTCCGATTATGCGAATCTGGACTTTCAGATCAGCCACCACGTGACCCAGCTATTATCTGTTACAGAATCTCGTGAAATCGATCTCTAGTACTTATATTCCTTACCAATAATTCTAACTCAACTTGCCATAAAACAATGGAGGTATGTTATGCGCTACTGCAATACCTTTTTATATCAACAATATAGCACATTGCCGATGCGTATAATTCTGCAGTGAGATTTGATTTCTTAAGCGGTCTCTAAACTAGAATAAGAGAAATTAATAATTCTGGCTCTCTCAATTTCTCTTCTCTCTTCCTCTCCTGTTGGTATTAGCATTAGGGACTACGGAGGCATTTTACAAATTAAAGGAGCCAATCCTAATTCAGAGTGAGCGCAGTTAGTTTTGATATTTGCCCAACCTTACCAAATAGACACACGTAACCCTTATTCACCTGCACTGGCTGGGCAAAAGTGGCCTCAAGAGTTGTCCTCCTCACAACGTAAACAGTCTTATCCTAACTTTAACTGATTCACTGAGATGCCTCTGGTTCTTTAACATTGCCCCAGATAAAAAGTTTGGAAATTAATCTCTGCACATAGAGGATCCAAAAGGTCATGGGCTTCTCCTTGTGACCACTTCTCTGAAAAGTGAAAACTCACTCGCCCATGTTAGAGCTCCGACCACTATCATGTTGAGAGGATACCTTTTCAAGAAAAATTTTACAAGCTAACGAACCAGGAATTTCAGCGTCGATGTTCCGTTAGATAAATGGGCTTACAGCCCAAGCTAATATGGGCCAAGTGTATGGGCTCAATCCAAATGGGCCGGTGGCCCTTTCCCCACCTCTACCAGCGGGTACAAAAACAAATCTCATTTGTTGTGCAATGCGCTGCCTGATAAAATAGGAACCCGTTTAAAATGACTTATAACTATTTTTTAATTATAGTTTAGAGAATATAAGATAAGTATGTAAACGAGTTTTGTCTCAGTTTGTTACAAACATGATTTCAAATGGATTCTGAGAGTCGAGCGCATCGTTTTCTGACTAGACAGAGAAAAAGGATGCGTGAAATAGAGATCACAAATGTGATAGAAGCTTCAATGCTTCATGGTGGCGTGGGGCAAACGACATTCGTTTTGTTTGATTGTGACGTGGAACCTCACGTTTAATCTCTCCTCCGTTATGTTTGCCTCCCCAATTGACCCGCCAGCAGACTCATTAATATGCGTACCTTTTTGAGGCTTATAATTCAGTCGTCGTGCTTTACAGCTTTTATTATCGCTTTATATATATAGTTTACTTTCTTTTTAGGGAAAAAAAACCATGTATTGGTATATGCATTTATTATTACCTTTTTGGTACTAGATTACTATTTCGAAAAATACGAAACTTCTGAATAAATTGTTATAACCGTGTGAGAAAGGAGGAGGGATGATGTTCAGGATTCAAACAATTCCAACGTAAGCCAATAGCAAGACTTTTATTTTTCAAAATTCAGAACAAAGTAAACAATATTTTGTAATATAACTTTTTTTTTTTGTTGAAAAAATTCATTGTACTGTGGTGCAAAGGAGTCTGAGCTATGACCAGGTGACTCAATGGATTTCATGTTTCTCTAATTAGTTTCCTCCATACGATCATTCGTTATTTATTTTATTTTTTATTAGCAATTTACGTGACTTACGTAACTGGTAAAACAAGAGGTGGAAAACAAAAGACATATGACCGACTTCTGCTGGCTCATGAATTTTAAGGTGTGCTTAAAACAAATGGGATGCGAGATTGTGAGTTGTCCTTACTATATACTCCTCCGGTCCTAATTATAAGACCTAATTGACTTATTTGAGGAGATTAAGGAAGTAAGTTAAGTTGGTTATTTATAATAAATAAGTGTTGTCATTCTTAAAATATCCTTGCTAATTAAGTATATTAGCTAAAACTATCATTATTAGAAGGATTATCTTGGAAAAAAAAATGTATAAATATAAGAGACAAAATAGATTGGGTCTTATAATTAGGACCAAATAAAAAGTCAAATTGGGTCTTATAATAAGGACTGGAGGAGTATTACATCATGTCCTAATTAGAAAATCTTATTTATAGATTATAAATGAAGTTTTATAATAAAGACTAGCGACGATATTTAAAAATTAAGAGCATTAAAATATGACTTGAGAATATTTCAATTAGACCCGACTCCTACGCACAAGTATTTATCACCGACTAAGCCAAATGATCCATGTTGTACACGAAACAGTTGAAGTTTGGAAACCAATCATTCACTGTTCACATTTATCATATCCAGGTGGTAGCGTGTGAGTCTGATATGTAATTCATGCAAATAACTTGAATCAAGCCCCCCCCCCCAAAAAAAAAAAAGAAATATATCCATGTATATAATATTTATATAAAGTTCCATTGCACTCCAGCGAGCCATGTTTGAAGTTTGAACTAAACTCGAGCAACAACAGAGATCGTCGTACTATTGTACATGTTTTTAAGAAGTCCAAGAAAGCAATAAAGGGATACTAATTTTAGAATTGAACTTGATATTAAATATAAGATTTTAATATACTTTGTCTCTTTTTTTTTTCAAAATATTCTTATTGTTTGTAAGAAGTTTTCATCAAAGAATATTTCAATACACATAATTAAAAAGGATAGTTTAAACAAACCAACACCCATTTGTAACAAGTAACTAAATTAATTAATTTTTTAATATTCTCAAATTAATTATTTGATAT